TGAAGCTGAAGATATTTTTATGCACCAGTTTTCACACTGAATAAACCCTAGGTGCTTACTGATAAAAGTCATAGTGACTCTTTTCAAGTAATTAGGAAGTGAGGTCAGTAGGATTCTCTTTTAACTGTACACATAGAAACAGACATCGAAACATACATAGACACACATACAGACATGCACATACAATTACTTGCTTAAGGTAGAATTTAAAACGAGAAGACACAAAGTGTATCATAAAATTATAGATTTAATTTGATATATTGCTATTTTATGAACTCTGTGTTCATATACCTGACAAGTTTGAAGAATGCTGTTATATGATTACAATCTTATTACTTTGAATGTTTAGTAGATCAAAAAAGGCTAACGTTGTATGGCCAAAGATTCAGGAACCCAGTTCTCAGATATAGACAACTTAAAAAAACAATATTTACTCCTACATGCGCAATTCCAGACTCAGGCAATCTTTACTTTAGGGGTTCCAAGATTGGCATTGGGGACTGAGTAAGAGCATCTACACATGTTTACATATTGACTAGAGAATGTATGTAAAAAACTAAATTCTTTGTCAAAAGTGTTTGACTAGCTTATATTGTGAAGTAGCTTAAAGACTGTGTACTAGGCCGGGTTTTCTAGACAAGAAAACAAATACGTCTATATGATGAAAGGGGATTCATTAGATTGGTTTACATGATAGGGGCTGAGAAGCCCAACAATTGCTGTCTGCACACAGGAGAGGCTAAAAAACTGGTAATTGCTCAGTCTGCAAAGATGGATGTCTCAGATGTCCCAGTCAGGTGCTGGAGGCCTGGAGCTCCCTAGAGAGTCATTAGTATTGAGTCCATGTTGGAGGACAAAAGAAGCTGATGCCAGCGCAGGGTGGGGACAGCAGGAACAGTTATACTCACTCAGAAAGAAGCAAAGGGAGGCAGCTGAATACCAGTCTTTCTTAAGAGTTGCCAGTTGAAGGTGTTGATCATTTGGAAGGTTAATCTTACTCTTCAGTTAATCATCTCTGGAAATGCCAGATAAAATTCTCCCACAGGTGTGTCTTTTAGGTAAGTCTAAATCCTGTCTAGTTGACAGTCAAGGATAACCATCAAAAAGAGACAATCTCAGACTTTGTTTCTCTTACAAATGTTCTATTTTCACCAAATTGTATCTCTTTGTGACTCAGTACCATCTATGCACAGGATCCCTTGATGATTCATAACGCATAAGTTAATGCTGCTGTCACCCATGCAATTACTTAAATGACCACACATCATTATGCTGTTGAGTAGTTGATGTGTACCCACATGTTGGGCAATGCAAGATCATGGGTGTTATTGAAGTATAATCTCTGTTCTAAGGGTGTTATCTTAGTGGGAGAGACATGGACAGCTATATTATGATGCAGAAAAATGTGATATGGTTAAAATACAAAAAAATGCTGTGTTTGTAGTATGAATGGAACAGTTAATTGTATCTGAAAATCAGGTACAAAGAGCTGAAGAAACTAATATTTATCAAGAACTTAAAACATGCTAAAGTTTGTCTGATGCTTCATCATAGGATCTGCAGGAAGTTGCTTTTAAACTGGGGTGTTTGGTCAGTGGGGCCATCCTGGGTAGGCATGGGTTCAAGAAACAAGAAGACAGTCAGGAGATAAGCTTTTTCTGACCTAGAGAAGCAGCAGCCTCAACTTCAGACATTTTCCAATGAGGAGGTGGAAAGAGAATTCTAGATGACAATGAAGAGGGTTAGTAAGATTCGACTCCAGCACAAATGGAAGGGCAACCAAGGGAAAAGGACGCAGGAAAGCAGCATTCTGTATCAACCTCTCTGAGGATTTACTATGGGAGAAGAAAAGAACAGGGATTGGATGTCAACTGGAGGGTGGCAAATAAGGCCATAAATCGAGTGCTACTCAGTAGAAAAAGTCATTCAGTCCCAAGATTTTAAAGGAAGCAAAGGCCAGTGGATGTATAACTGACCTGTCCTTGAGCAACTCATGCTGGTGAGGCATGGCCTGCCCTGGAGAAGGGAGTCAGCACTAAAGTGTGAGTCTTCTGTGTTAGCAGAACATCAACACTGAGAACACAGATAACTGCCTTCATCCTACTGATCTTCATAGAATCGTAACTGAGTCCCGGCAAATGAAGAGGTCAAGTTCAGCAGTCAAGGGGTTCATTACGGATTTCACGGGACTATAGAAACATAACCTGGAACTTGACTATGATGAAGGCTAGAGCCATTTTAGACTGTACCACAAAGAATTATTTCTAATGCCATAATTTTACAGCAAGAAAGCTGTGTGGATTGATTAGTTCCTACTGTAATTAGTTAGTCTCAGTATACTTTCCTGTCTTAACTAATGAAAACACTTAGAGCTGCATCTTTATGGAAGTTAAGTAGGCCAGGCAGCTTAATGGTCTTAGAATAATTAGAGAATTTTTCATTATCAGCCAGTGGGATACCTGCTTCTTCTAGGGAAGCTTCACGGATCTTTTATTCTCTTCTCTCCTCTCCTCTCTCCTTCACTAGTGTCTGTGAAGCCCAACTGCAGAATATCACTATAGAATATTTCACAAACATTCATGAGACTGATCCAGATGATCCAAACTATTATTAACTTACTAGGATGGTAGGAAGACAAATTTTGTTTCCATGTGGGATAAGATAGTGGAGTTCATGACAGTAGGTCTTAAAATGCTTTTCTAGCTTATGTGAAAACCTAACGTAGGAGGGGCAAATTTTGTGCATGAAGAAATGGCTCACTGGTAAAGAGCTTGTTTACAAGTACGAGGACCTGAGTCTCATCTCCAGAACCCATATAAAAGCTGGGTATGGTAGCACACACTCACACTCCCAATAGTGTGTAGAGACAGGAAACAGGAAGATCCCTGTGACTTGCTGGTCAGCAACCTAGCTTATTTGGGAAGTTCCAGGCCAGTGTCAGACCCTATCTCAACCACCACAATAAAAATGTAACACCCAAGGAAGGACACTGTGGTTGCCTCTGACCTCCACATGTACACACATAAACGTACATATGCACACACATCTGCAAACCCATACTTACCACCCCCAACAAGAACATGCACATACACATGAAGAAAAGGCAAATTTGTGGTAAATATGCCCGTCTGCCCTTCTGTGTCTGTGATACTTATCTGTAATATCGGTAATGCCACCTTGTCCTCTGAGTCATGACTTCAGAACTTTCTAAACATAGCACCACAAACAGAAAGAAGTTAGCATTGGCTTGAAAGATGAATTAGACAGGTAATTTCTCCCATTGGAATGTAAACCTCCCAAAGGCAGGCACTATATCCAATCCAGGACAAGGGGTTCTTGATGATTTTGAACATATAATAGATATATTAATGAATTAATGGATAGATGAGTGAAATCTGTTTTTCTTTCTAAAGTTGGCACAGGGATGCTTGCAGAAAACCCCCTTCTCTACTCTTCAGGAAAGACCCAAGTATCACCATGAACCATGAAGCTCATAGGCCCCAAAAGCTGGGCCAGACCTCAGAGAAGAAATTCTGCCAATTTCTCAGGAAAACAAGGTAAAAAATAGAGCATCTATCTAAAATGCAGTCTCTGCAGCTTGGGAGACAGTCTGCATATTCATATCTTACTAAGTCCTCTGTCGTTTGTTTCATAGAATGGGCATCACAGTGTTGTGTGCTTTGTAGAGTTGAATGAAGTTTGAGTAAGGCAAGATGAAAACTGACTGGTTTAACAACTGGAAAATGGAATATGGTAAATCATGTATTAATTACGTTTCTGTTGCTGTGATAAAACACCAAGGGCAAGGCAATGCATAAAAGGAAGAGTTTATTGGGCTTACAGCTCCATAGGGAAGAGTCCATCATGACGGAAGAGGCCAGGTGGGAGGTAGCCAAAGCAGAAAGTTGAGAGTCTACATCTTCCAGCACACACAAGAAAGGGGGAGAAACTGCAAATAGAACGGGGCTATGAACTCTCAAAACCCATCCTCAGTGACTTTCTTCCTCCAGCAAGATCACACCTCACAAAGGTTCCCTGACCTCCCCCAAAGAGTGCCACCAGTTGACCAAGTGTTCAAATACATGAGCCTTTGGGGGGACTTTTCATTCAGATTATCACACTAAAGAAAAAAAGTTAGCCCTTTCTTCTTTTAATTTTTATTAGCTGAACTGGTAACTACCATTGTTTACCAGGTAAGGATATTTGCTTTGTTTCACCCACAATTTCAAGCATTTTTTTTTGTCATCCTTACATTATATAATGGAAACTGTGACAAAGAGAATATAAGGAACAGATCTTTATTAAATAAAAAGAAGACATGCTCTGGGTGGAATGTTGTACTCTTTTCTTTGGCTAATCTTATTGCTTTGTAATACACAGCATGCTTCATAGAAAATTATTTGCCAAAGGTGTCTTTAAATAATAGATGATATACTTTAATAACAACTGAGTGGGCTGAACTACTCTTCTAAAAAATAACTCAAAAATTACATTAAACATTCAAACCTTCAGTTCAGTCATTGGTTAGGTACAGGGAAAGAAAAGGAAAGTTTCAGTTGGCTTGATGTTCGTTGCCAGGAAACACACAAAGGCATGAGGGACGGATGAAACAAACAACTCCACATTGGGGGAAGGTGGCTTTGGGGGTAAGCACTTCACTGGGTAGCGGGACTTTGCAGAGGTGTCATCTAACAATGAAAAAATGGACCCTAGAAGCATCTGTCAGGATAAAGAGGTTAGTGAACGCGATTAGGAAAAACTGCTGTGTCGGTAGCTATGATGTGGGAAGCCTGGCATATTTCTAATCAGACCAGGTGAAACAGTGTAAAAAGGGGTCCTGGGGGCGCGTCTTGAAAATAAGCCATGGACTCAAATAGCCGAAGGAATGAGAGGGCTTTCATTTCCTACCTTTGCTCAGACATTTCCCTTCTAACTGAATGCCTTGAAAGATTTGTACTTTCGTTTTGAAATTCTATTCTAAGTCTGGCTCCTTTTCAAAGGACCCTGTTAAAGAAAACAGCAGCAGCAGCAAAGAAAGAGCTGAAAGGATGCTGAAAAGGGGTGAAGTTGTTAAGAGTTACCTGAATGCTGCACTTGAATTAAACATGGAGTCACAGCCAGGCCCAAAATGCCCTGAGAAAACAGAAGCTGTAGCTGTGGATGAAGATTATGGCCTAGGCCTCCTTGAAAACCGGCTCAGAGTGGAGGACTTCATGAAGATACAGCAGGTCTTTGAGGTATGCACTAAGTTTACTGACTGAAGGATTGGAGCCGTTCACAAAGGACAGTAGCTTGAAGCACACACTTTTCTTTATAAATATTTTAGTAGGGTGGCTGGGGAGATAGCTGTCAATGTAGTGCTTGTCAAACAAACATGAAGACCTGAGTCTGAGCCCTAGCACCCATGGAAAAGGCCAGGTATGCTGGGGCCCGCTTGTAATCACTCCCTCTAACCAGTCTAGCCAAATCAGCAAGTTCCAGGTCCCAATGAGGGACCCTGTCTCAAAAAATGTGGATGGTTCCAGAGGAATGCTACTTGCAGTTGACCTATGGCCTCCACAGGCTTGTGCACATGTGTGCCCTCGTGCATGTTTACCTGCACATATATGTATGCATACACACAAGTATTTTAATATGTTTTATAGTTAAAGCAAAGTCTTAAAAACAATCAGGCTTAGACTTAACACCAAACACTTCAGTAACATTGTCCTCAGATCTTTGAAAGAAATACTAGTATTTAATTTAAAGTTTTGCTGCATGTGGGTATCATTTTCATTAAAAAGCACAATTTGGGACTTCCAGCTGGAGGTCAAAATGGTGGCAGTGTGATCTCAGTGTGTGCAGTGGTGGTGGCGGTGGTGAGACTTGGACAGGACTGGCTGTAGGGTCAATGGCCCATGATGATGGATGATGATGATGACGAGGAGAAGGAGGGGGAGGAGGAGGAGCATTTCATGACCCTCAGACACAGCCGTCTACTCCCCAAGGGTCTGGCCAGGGGCACAGTGAAGATGGGAAGTTTTAAGTGAGGAAATGACCTTCACATTTCAATCAGAGGACTTAAGATGATTCCAATGAAGAGATGCCCCGTCACTTTATCCCTTGGCCTTGGAGAAAGATGTGAAAACAGCAGACACCAAAAAAGCCAACTGGATCCTTGATCATGGAGAAAAACAAAAACAAAAACAAAAACAAAAACAAAAAAAAACAAGAAACACTTGATCTGTCTCTTTGAGTAAAAGTGAAAAGTGGTTTTCTTCAATATTGATGTTCCTCTGGCAAAAATTTTAACTCAGCATGTAACTGTTGCCTTTGCTGCACAGAAGTGCACATGTTCTTTCTTAAACACGAGTATAGTCAAAGTGATGGAGACAAGAAAATACTAGAAAACAGAGTAATTGAAATTATGACCAGTCTTATGAGCACGGAATTGTGGTCTCCTTCCATGAACCTTAAGCTGTGGTCCCCTCCCATGAACCTGGTGCTGTGGTTCTTTCCTGTGAGTTGGAGCTCTGGTTCCCAAATATGAGCCACAGTTCCACATTCTTCTGGTGGTGGGCTAATAGTGGAGCAGATTGGAGAATAGAGGGCTTCCCAGCATTGGACAGTAGCTTCAGCTTTCTCTGAGTAGCTCCCCCGCCCCCTCCCCATGTCCCATGTTGTATATGACGGTGGTTTCTTCTCTGTGGAGACAGATGAAGTTTCTTTCACTTGCAGATTCTAGTCTTGGGAGGACTGATTCTCAATGATGGACTTTCCGCCTCCTTTGATGGCCAGCTATGGCCTTGACTCCACATGTGGTCCTGGGGCGCCCAGGCCTTGACATTGGACCTTTCCTATTTCTAGGTATGAAGAGGTTTTCCATCCTTTTTTATTACTCTTCTACACCCCCAGTGTACCTTCACCTCTGCCGTACAGAAAATGTAAAACACCTAATTGAGTTTCTAGAGATAAAAATTATAGTCTGGGAAGTTAAAACTAAATTGAATAACAGTAGGATTTATTATTGCAAATTTTTTTTCTTAGAAATTAACATATTTTGGAGAAAGTAAAATTTATACTGAGGAATGAGAAAAGTCAGATGTAACCCCCATGTTAATTACTGTCTTTGCACTTGATATGAACACAGAATTAGGAAAATGCAACTATGTACATCCACTTTGTGACAATTCTCTCCTGCCTCCACCTGTTGGCAGTTGCTGTGGGTATTTTATTGTCCCACACAAGGAGCCCACCTTCAAGCTTCTTTTATCCCCTGGAATAATGCCAATCTAAATAAAATGAGAAGCTTTGGATTTAATTCCACAAAGAAAAGAAACCAGGGGAATTCAACTACAAATGAGTAGTTTTCCTCTCCTGACCTTAGATAATTAATTTGGAATTCTGTAACTATGCATGAACAGCACACTTCAAAGTCAAATTTAAGTTTCAAATCCAGGTAGGAGGAAACACAGTTTCATGCTGTGGAATGTAGACAGACAGGAACCGTGGTCCTTTCTGCTTCGTTACGTTTGCTAAGTTATGATCTCAGGACTTTATGAGATCCTCCAGGGGATGCTGGGAGTATCTACATTAATTGGAAGCAGACATACAATATTTTGAAATTCAGTTTTAAAATTTTGTAAAACATGAAACCTAACAATTATACTGGCCCATAATTGGCACACATTTTAATTGTTTGCTATTAAAAAAAATGTGGGGACTGGAGACAAGACTCAATGGTCAGGAGCACTTTCTGCTCTTCCAGAGGATCTGAGTTTTGTTCCCAGCATCCATGTCAGGCAGCTCACAACCACCTGTAACTCCAGCTCCAGGGGGAATACACCATCTCAGACTTCCATGGGTGTCTACACTCATGTGCACATACCCACACAATACGCATAAACAATTAAAAATAAAATAAATCTTCAAAACAAGATGCTTACCATTTAAGGTCCTTTTTACTCTGTATAAGAATTCAAATTCTATGGACATGGATACATGGACATTTTGGTAACAGCAATCATTTCTTTATAATAGAATCTATCACATTTTATAGCAAGTGCATGTTCTGTTTCATACTTTTCTAATTTTAACCTCTGTATATTTGCTATTCATCTAACCCCATTTGCCTGAACTATTTCAGTGTGTCTCATGCCCAATGTCCCAGATAAATGTGGCATGTTTTGATAGGCACTGCAAACATTTTGACAGCTTGAGGACAATCAGGAAAATATAACAGCAGATTATTACAGCTTTGACTCTGGGATGAACAGAAATGTGGTGGTTTTGTTCTAGTGCTGAGAACATAAAGAATTCGAATGCTAGAGTCTAGAAGAGAGTTAATGTTATAAAGTAGATGCGGTAGTGAAGCTGCTATTGAAGGTTGGGGGTGGGCGCCATTTCAGATACAGATCAGTATTGCATGAACCAAAATGAAACTGCAACATTCAAGAGAATTTTTTTGGTGTTTGTTTGATATTAGACCTTCTGAGGTCAGACCCCTTGTTTGGAAATTGCCAGATGGAAAAGCAAATACGGATGGACCCAAAAGAGGAAGAGAATGAGATTCAGAAGTTTCATGAGTAGAAGGAATCCATGACAGTTTTTTTCTTTTCAAAAACAGCTTTTCCTGTGTACTTTCAAGAAAAATACTGATGTCCATTCATTGTTAACACACTGAGCAAACACAGAACAAAACCGCCTGGTTGCAGATGCACAGCCAGTACTAAGGCAAATGCACAGCCAGGACTGTGAGCAGGAAGGGACGTGCAGAGGGGCAATGCACTGGATGACTCTGGTGGAATCCTTCTCATCTGTCTCAAGCATTTCAAGAAGTTGCTGGAAGAAAACAGGGCTCTCAGGGCTGCTCTGCAACACAGAATTCCAGAGGCAGGTGATCTGCTCATGAAAGGCATAGTCAAAGGCCAAGACTCTGGAAGCGTATCCATTTATCTTTTACTATGTTTTGCTTGCTTTTTTGGTTTTTATAAAGACTGATTATATAAGACTGAAGAATGTTCAGAGATTAGGTGAGTGGAAGACTCTGTAGGCCATGTCTTAAGAATATATAGGAGAGTACATTAAATTGGGCAGGAGGCAGTGAGGCAAGGAATGGATTGGTTAGGGGATCTAAATGCCCATCAAGCTATATTGTATAAAAAATCACAACAATTCAGTTTTAAAAAAGATTCTCAGTGGGTCAAAGGGCTTGCCTTACAACCCCCTGTGACCTGACCTCGATCCCTGGAGTCCTTGGAAATGAAGGAGAGAACGGATTACACAAAGTTGTTCTCTAACCTCTGTGTATGTATCCTGTCATGCACACCCCAGCCCCCAACTCACATTTCATTCACACAGAGACACAGATAAAATAAAAATAAATAAATAAACAAATACATTTAAAATAGGGGGCTGGAGAGATGGCTCAGCAGTTAAGAGCACTTTGGTTCCCAACACCCACTTGCTGACTACCAATCAACCAAAACTCCAGTTTCAGGGGATCTGATTCCCTCTTCTGGCCTCCATGAGCATTGCACCCATAGGTGTGCTTACATCAAGCAAAAATAAATAAACAAATAAAATTAAAAGAAAACAAAACATTCCAAAAAGAAAAAAAAAAGTAAAACAGGATGCTTGGTCTTTGAATTGGTTGGGAAGATGACTCAATCAGCAAAGTACTCGCCCTATAAGCAAGAGGACCTGAGTTTGATCCCCAGCACCCACATGGAAAGCTGGGCATGGTGGTGCATACCTGTAATCCAAGTGCTGGAGAGCTAGACACGAAGGATCACTGGAACTCATTGGTTCCTCAGTCTAGTTTAATAAATGAGCTCTAGGCCCCCAAAATATGGTGGAATACAATTAAGGAAGACATCAGACATTGGCCTCCACCTGCACATGCATGTGTGTGAACACCCAAATACCATACATAAATGCACACATGTGCATACATGCACACACATACACACATGCACACATACACACAGAAGCATGTAAAACACACATATACACAGAAGTTAAGGATCTATGAATGGACACTGAATATTTCACATCAATTTCCAAGTGAAATACTCTCTATCATCGTAATCTTGGTAGTAACAGGGATAAAGAAAGCCATTACATTCATTATATAGAATTAGAGATAGTTGTAAATACCAGTTACTGTTTGAGAGCCAGAATCAGACTTCCCGGGTTTGAGAAGCAGCTTTGTAATTACAATGCGACTTTATGTATTAACATCTCTGTGCCCCAGTTT